TAACTCTGTGAACCCTTCCTCCCCCCATCTCGGCTCTCCAAACATTACTAAAAAATCGCATTGCTGAACTCAACTTTATATAGAACAAAAAAGAAGTCAGCGAAAAGAATGTACCGTTCGACTGCAAGACATGCCGTAAAATGGCGCGCGTGTTGTGCACTACACAAATCATGTAAAAATGATTTCACTAGCCTGTATAGGCGATGTAATGTGTAGGTATTTACTTCCGACAAATTTGACTGCATTTATCTAGTTTCTCTAGCTATTCGTAATTAAGGACTCGGGGTCCTACACGGAATATGCAAATTTCGTGCACCCTTTATAGCTTTCCACTTGACTATATAAGCATTTTTCAGGCTGAAGACGCCTCCGCATGGGGAAACATGAAGCCAGCACCGATGTATGATATGAAATTGATGCCGACACCATACTTCCCCGGGCAGCCCACCTATCCGACGGGACTATTCTTCCAGCAATAGTTCATACAGCTTCCCAAAAAAGGAGCAGTTGTCCCCAAATACATTCACTTCTCGCCCGAGTTTCTCCCCGTGCCTAATTTTTCTATCACTTTTGCCTGTTTGTACCAATTTTCCGATACTCGTCTAGAGTTGTGATTTGCTCGAAGTCCACACACATAGATATTTACCAGCATATCCTTCCTTGCCCAGAGAGACGGCTCTGCCCACTAGGATGTACGCAATTGCACACATTTCCCCGAATGTGCAGTTGTGCTTTGTACAGTATATTTATTGATTTTTTCGACTACCGTATCCCTCCTCTCTCCCTCTTCAATCGACTCTATTTGGGTAAATTTTTTGGGCTGAGAATGTGGCATCCAGAGCACAATATACGGTGCAATAGATTTTGTATCTCCCCCTCCCTATCCCCCCCCCGCCAAAAAATTACATGCCGTCCATGTGGAGTGCGTCGAGATATCATCCTTTCGTAATGAGAACCTCCTCTCCAAAGTTGATGTGACCATATTGAGTTCTTCCTGATTGATTGTGATCGTTTTCTAAACCATTGAAAAAACATACCTTATCTGATCTTTTTTCTTTGTTTCTGAGATTTTTCTATGTTTTAATAAAAATAATTTATGTGTAATGTGAAGTGTGTTGATCACAATGGCTACCGTAATCTTTTCGCATGTCTGAGATCGTTGGATTACGGTAGGCACACGGAAGTAGGTCAAATTCACAAATCTGATCTACCGGAGCTG